ACTTTCAAAGAATAAAACACCGTAAGCCCTATATGCACGTATGATATGGTATTGGACAAGGCTAAATGTAGATACTGAGGTCAGTTTCATGAAAAAGTATCTGAACTATCCGCAAAATATACATGATAATACTGACAGTGTAATCGGAAGGATTGGGCGATTGGGTAAGTGCATTTTCGAAAACATCCCAACCGATTCTAGATTCATCGGCAACGTTTCAGAATTATAATTAGCGATTTCATGTAAAACTGATATCAGTGATCATGAATATGTTATTTTGGAAATTCAAGTACTCCCAGGAATTATCCGATTTTCACATTTCAAAACATACAGCAAATGACGGTGTGAATCGCGATTTCGTACTGTGTCAAAATGGCGACATTTTCGATGAAACCTATTTTGGAAGGTCATTTTCAGCACTTGAGCTTTGTCTAAAATAATAGTGGATGGTATCAAGAAACAGGAAATTTCCCGCAGAATTCAGAAACTGTGAAGTGTATTTGTGTGCGTGGGATATTTTGATTTTTATTGGACTTCAAATTGAGGGTTGAAGGGAAGGACATATATGTCCCTGTGGCATCAAGGGGGCTAGATGACGAGCGAAAGGCATGTAACATCTTAGAACGCGATAGAGGAAGAATCTGCAATGTCAAAACATATAATGTAATGGTGTAAAATATTACAAAAAATAATCGGTAATCCCAATCCAGATCCTAGATCCTAGATCCTAGATGACGAGCGAAAGGCATGTAACATCTTAGAGAACGCGATAGAGGAAGAATCTGCAATGTCAAAACATATAATGTAATGGTGTAAAATATTACAAAAAAAATAATCAGTAATCCCAATCCAGATCCTAGATCCTAGATCCTAGATGACGAGCGAAAGGCATGTCACATCTTTGAACGCGATAGAGGAAGAATCTGCAATGTCAAAACTTATAATGTGATGGTGTAAAATATTACAAAAAAAATAATCGGTAATCCCAATCCATTCATATCACGGACTGATTTTTGGATAGATAACCACTTAAAGTCGTTAAAACTGTATTTATTCATACTAAAATTCATCTGAAGAATTTATGGATATACAACTTCTATATTCAGTATATTTGAATTCTAATTCAACTTAGTATGTAACACGAGTTCTGATTGGTCAATGCTATAAATTTCCGACCGTATAATCAGCATATACGGTCGCAATTTGAAAACCGATTCACCGAAACCTTTGAATGTATCCCTACACTATTGGGGTAACGCTGTTTCGCAGGACATTGTCATTTGCAGAAGCCATTGGTCAATTAACTCCCCTATCCAGCTAAAATGGGTGGAATTTGTGTTAAAAAAGACAAAACAGTATCATAAATTTAATTTTAAGTTCAAACAACTTACTCGCAACGGGCTGTTGACCCAACACTGTTAGATCATGAAACAAGGTTTATGACGTCATTATGGAGCGTGACGTCACCTGCTATGACGTCATTTGACAACAGAACTGATAATGGCCCGTAGTTGAGGAATCAGCGGGCCGCTCATTTCTGTAACTAGAGGGCGGTTTCATCATAATACCGTCCATTTTATCTATAATACTATGATCTATTCATCATTGTCAAATTTAGTCTGTGTGCACATAATAAACGTGTGTAGTTTGAAAAGGGAACTACTTTCTCTGGCGATGGTGTAAGTTGAAGGAGTGATATGATTAACCTTTGACCTAGAGGAACTTTGACCTGGTTTAAATAATGAATTTCTTTCACGAAAAAACAGCGTAAAACGAGTTGAATTAGAATGGGGATAACTGTACTGTGTTTGACGAATTGGGGACGTATACCGGTGGTTATATAGCCGCAAATTTAACGTTATATCGGCTCCGCTTACGCGTCGCCGATATAACTAAATTTGCGGCTATATAACCACCGGTATAATACGGTCGCAATTTCAAAACCGATTCACCAAAACCTTTGAATGTATTGCTACAGGATATTGTCATTTGCAGAAGCCATAGGTCAATTAACTCCCCTTTCCAGTTAAAATGGGTGGAATTTAATTGTGTTAAAAAGACAAATCATAAATTTGATTTTAAGTTCAAACAACTTACTCGCAACGGGCTGTTGACCCAACACTGTTACATCATGAAACAAGATTTATGACGTCATTATGGGCGTGACGTCACCTGCTGTGACGTCATTTGACAACAGAACTGATAATGGCCCGTAGTTGAGGAATCAGCGGGCCGCCCATTTCTGTAACTAGAGGGCGGTTTCATCATAACTCCGTCCATTTTATCTATAATACTATGATCTATTCCTCATTGTCAGATTTAGTCTGTGTGCACAAATTAAACGTGTGTAGTTTGAAAAGGGAACTACTTTTTCTGGCGATGGTGTAAGTTCAAGGAGTGATATGATTAACGTTTGACCTAGAGGAACTTTGACCTGGTTTAAATAATGAATTTCTTTCACAAAACAACAGCGTAAAACGAGTTGAATTAGAATGGGGATAACTGTACTGTGTTTGACAAATTGGGGACGTATACCGGTGGTTATATAGCCGCAAATTTAACGTTATATCGGCTCGCTTACGCTTACTTCGTCAAACACAGTACAGTTATCCCCTAAGTTGTATATCCATAACATTGTCCTCATTCTTCATAGCCTCCACTTCAAAATGCCAATCAAAAAGTAAAAGTACATCTGTCAAGGCGTAACATACCACTCAAAAAGAAATTAATTAACACTCGATTCTTTCATACCCTACTTATTAAACTCGTAGGAGTCATAAAATATATGTTTCAAGACCAAGAATGTAGAACAATGTTATGTGTTGATAACAAAGATCTTATGCAGGAGTCTGTGGAACACCCAGAAAATACACACGACAGCTTGCATGTCCCGCATGCAGAGTTACACATTGGAAAGTGGAAGTCGTCACCAAAGGGAACCGTTCATAATTTATGGCTTTGGGACAGTGATGATGATTTTGACGGAGAAGCATGTACAATGTGAATGACAACCCCATTTTAACATAGCACTATGGTTACCTTAGTGACTTACGATCATCTTAGTGCTCTGTGAAGGAGGCCCAGTTCTAACCCGGATCTTCTCTTGTTGATACTTTTGGTCAAGGACCTGTGTGTTCTTGAAGTCTTTAATTTCCATCTTCGGTTCCAGTGACTATAATCTGTAAGACTAGGGTAACATTTAGGAGAATTCGCCTGATTTTAATTGTCCCAGAGATATATTTTATCTGTTCGCTATGAATTTATGATGATTTAGAGATTTTACGTGCGCTTTCCGACATTATGCCCATTTCGCAGGCCCACCAGACCATTTAGTGAGTGACTTTAGGTTAGCAATATTCCTGCAATATCCCGACCGGGTACACCAGAAATGGGCTTCACACTAATACCCATGTGGAGAGCCAGGCCATTTAGTGCAAGGATGCTTTCACCGAAAGATATATACCAACCTGAAGGGGCTTAGGGTTACATATAAGTTCATTTATGTGAATTTTTAATTTGGAGATTTCTCATGAGTGGTAGGGGTAGCGGAAGTACGGGTTGGTTAGGTTGGTATTTGTTTGTTTTGTTAAATTGTGTGGTTTCATTGGTTTTTTTTATGTTGGTACTAGTTTTTTTACGTGGTTTTCATGAGAAATATACCTTTGCCAGTTTGTTATTTAATGGACTTACTAGTGTTTGTCAAATGAACACCACTCTATAGTGTTTTGTAGTGTTTGTTGTGTTAGAGTCAAATGAACACCACTCAATTGTGTTTTGTAGTGTTTGTGTTAGTGTCAAATGAACACCACTCTATAGTGTTTTGTAGTGTTTGTTGTGTTAGTGTCAAATGAACACCACTCTATAGTGTTTTGTAGTGTTTGCATTGTAGTAGGACATGTTCGAGAGTTTCTGTTTCGTTGCTGTGTGTACATTTGCCCGTTTGATGTTTTTTGTTTTAATTTTAAGCGGGTCGGAAAATAAGTTCGTATGACATGGTTATCGCCCTTCCAATATTTTCAGATTTATGGTAGATTTTAGGTTTCTGAGTGTTTGTTTAGTAAATATCCAAGTTTTGAATTTGAATTTTGGCACTTACTTTGCCAGTTTTGGAAGGTTTGTTTTCATAGGCTTTTAGCATCGTGTTTACATCAAAGTATGTTTAAGTTAACTTCTGGTAGTTTAAGTGCCACTTCGGCTGCGTGGTCGACATGTTTGTTGCCAGACACACCGACATGGGCAGGGATTCATATGAACCTTTTTCCTAACTCGTGTACATCCTGGCTGCTTTTAAGCATTTCGTTTATTAGTTTAGGTTGGTTTTGGTGTTTTGTGTTTTATTTCTCGGAGCCCGTTGAGTGAGTCTGTTAGAATTATATTTTGTGTTGTTTGACGAGCGGGTCACGGAGTGCTGTCACTATACCCATTAATTCTATAAAATCCGTTCAGAATTATATAACTGAAACTAACCGCTTTACGGAATTCAAGTAACAACCTATAAACATAAAATGCACTTGGTATCTTGTTCTATATTTTCTTTTTGTTTATTTTTCTTTTGTTTTGATTCATTCATTAATGTCCTAATGTCTGCTCCATAGAATTAAGTCAAGATAATAACGAACTATATGCGGAGAAGCATGGACATAGGCCATATGCTAATCCTATTTCCATTTTGTTATGTCGTGTATTATGAAAAATGTAAACATTAATGTAAATAAAATACTGTTTAAATCATTAATTCTGCCATGCAAATCCGTTGATTTGATCGCACGACCAAAGGTTCGTGCAGCACATAAAGTACCGAACTCTGCACAGCAAATTACGGCGCTTTCTTCTACTGGTCCACCCCTCTCCCGAAAGTTCTTTCAAACCATTTACTGTACAATATCGGCAGATGATTTGGTTATGTCTCTCCGTATAGAGTCTGTGAAAGTGATAGCACTGAATTGATGTCCTTTGAATAAGGTGCCCGAAGACAGTAATGAGCTGTTTATAATCTTTATTTATGTAATCTACATGTTTGAGTGAATCAGAATTAACAGAAAAACAATGCATGTGAAAAATATAACATGATATTTGTTTTCATGAACATTTTCTGCTTTTTCTGTCTCAAAAAATTATATAATTTTGTTGTCAGAATAGAAATTACGATGCTCCATTGTCATTAATACAATATTGTATTGACAGAATTCCTGCTATCGATATTGAAGGTTTACCTGTGCAGGTAACTAGTTTTGCAGATTCTCTGATGGTGAGTACATCCTTTATCATACACTTTTCCATTCTGCTTGCGAACCTTTGTCTTCTGTTACAATATAACAAAGATTTTGGTATATTTCATATCCAATCACACTTGTCCTTAGTCTGAAGGCATGCCCATTCACAACTCTCTTCTACTAATATCCTTTAACTTCTTGTGGTATTTGCTGACACAGACAAAGTCAGACTGTTTTTGGAATTTGTTACTGTACACCTTGCAATCTGGAACAGAGAAACAAACCAGTTGGTATTGGTCAGCACATCCATCCTGGGGTGAGTCAGTCAATGTGGTCTGGGGGATGTGATCTAGGGACAGACAGTCGATGTGGTCTAGGGTGAGTCAGTCGATGTGGTCTAGGGTGAGTCAGTCGATGTGGTCTAGGGTGAGCCAGTCGATGTGGTCTAGGGTGAGACAGTCGATGTGGTCTAGGGACAGACAGTCGATGTGGTCTAGTTAGAGTCAGTCGATGCGGTCTAGTTAGAGTCAGTCGATGTGGTCCAAAGAGGAACAAACCAGTTGGTATTGGTCCAGCACAACCATCCTGGGGTGAAGTCAGTCAATAATGGTCTGGGGATGTGGTCTAAGGTGAGACAGTCGATGTGGTCTAGGGTGAGACAGTCGATGTGGTCTAGGGTGAATCAGTGGATGTGGTCTAGTTAGAGTCAGTCGATGTGGTCCAGAGGGTGAATCAGTGGATGTGGTCTAGGGTGAGTCAGTGGATGTGGTCTAGGGTGAGACAGTCGATGTGGTCTAAGTCCTGGGTGAAACAGTCCATGTGGTCTAGGGTGAGACAGTCGATGTGGTCTAGGGTGAGACAGTCGATGTGTGGTCTAGGGTGAGACAGTCGATATGGTCTAGGGTGAGACAGTCGATATGGTCTAGGGTGAGACAGTCGATGTGGTCTAGGGTGAGACAGTCGATGTGGTCCAGGGGTGAATCAGTGGATGTGGTCTAGGGTGAGTCAGTGGATGTGGTCTAGTTAGAGTCAGTGGATGTGGTCCAGGAGAGTTAGTCGATTTGGTCTAGGAAGAGTCAGTCGAAGTGTTTTAGGGTGAGTCAGTCTATGTGGTCTAGGATGAGTCAATCGATGTGGTCTTGGGTGAAGCAATGACTGCAGTCTAAGATGGGTCAGTCTACCTACCCAGGACGCATCTGTTCTTGTCCGGTATGAGGCTGTATCCCATCTCACAGTTGGGATTACCTAGAACACACAGTGAAATCGTATCCCCTTCTCGTCATGGAGTTGTATATATACTACCAGGCAAAGAAAGTTGTCCCTTTTCAAGTGATTGTATAAAACACAAAATCGCTGGTGCAGGTTTAAAACCAAAGCAGACAAACTTCGCTAAAACGCATCATGGTCCCGATAACAACGCAGCTGTCCGAAAAAAATCATGCATTTTTCAAAACGCGAAAAACGTAATTGTAGGACATAAGTCCAAATGTACGTGCGTGATATTGGCATAAATACCGATGTTGGTCAGAGCAAGCATGCAGTAATCGAAAAACAACCACAAATATGCCAAGACTTACGCAAGCACAACGAGACAGTGCGATAGGTATGGCCAATATGAGGGCTTCAAAACGTCAGCTGGCAAGAACCTTCAACTGCAGCCAGGCCACCATCAGCAAATTGAAAAACCGCTACCAGCAAACAGGCCAGACCCAAGGCCGCCCGGGAAGACAAAGAGTCACGACACCGACACAAGACCGCTACATACGCAGATAGACATCCGGAACAGATTTCTAGACGTCGATGTCAACGGCGGCGACAGGGAACGCCATCAGCAGACTAACTGTCCATCGACAGCTTGGCATGGCTGGTATACGAGCCTACTAGCGCAACTTCCGTGGAATGGCCTTGACCCGTCTACGCCGCCAACACAGATTGCAATGTTCGTCGGCGGGAGGGACGTGACTGGGAGAGAGTGCACTTTACAGATGAAAGTCGGTTCAATGGGTTCAGAGACGATGGCAGAGTTCGAGTTTTTCGAGGAGAGTGACTGGCGCAAAACAGCGTATGAGAAGTTCATCCTTTCGATGGAGGAGGCGTCATGGTATCGGGCGGCGTTTGTAGCCAGAGAATTGTAAGACTGGTTATCATCCGAAGAAACCTGAATGTCCAGGAATACAGGGGTGAAGTGTTGAGAACTTCAATGGTGCCCTTTATTCGACAACAGCCAAGAAGTGACATTTTGATGCACGTCAATGTAAAGGCCTCACACCACAAGAATTGTTCGAGAATACCTAAACAACGAAACCCATTGAACACGTCTGTGGCCAGTGTGGGTATCTTGATCATCAGCTGAGACAGCGTGCACCACCTGCAATGAACCTGACAGGAACCTGAACAGACTCTCTTGGACTTATGAAAACAGATTTCTGCTGACGTCATCCGCCGACGGATGACGTCAATGAAAAGACGTGTGTTGGCATGTATGGATGCCCAGGGTGGTCACACTCGCTATTGATGACGTGTCCCCTTATTCCTGTCTCAATATGTGACTCTTTATGCACTTTTTGAATAAACTCTAGTTTGTGTAATCTTTAATGTTGACCCCTTCGCTCTTTCTTAATTAATTGTCGCAAATGCAAGACCAGCATTACAATTTACAAATAATTGAAAAATGATTTCTGTTTGTAAAATAATTACCATAAATACCGCATACGTCTTTGTTTCTATATATTGTCAAGTGAAGTCGGTGCTAACTCTCTTTGGCCGTTAGTTTAGAAGACATCATCAGTCCCTCAAAACACCTAGTGGGTAACATCTCGCCATACCCACCCACGATCATGCACTAACTTCATGAACCAGCTGGTCTGTTCCTGGGCTGCCATTGTTTTCGATGACGATTGGCTCTGCTAGTACATATACGGCAGTATTATCTACAAGCTGGCGACAGAAACAACTCACAGAACATAATGGATACTATATCCGCGATATTGCATACCAAGTCTTAATATTTACATGTATCCTGTGTTGTACACGGGTGTACATTTTGTATCTTATTTTGTTTTGTTTTTACGGGGTGGTGGGGTAGCCTAGTGGTTACAGAGTCGCTCGTCACGCTGAAGACCAGGTTCGATTCCCACATGGGTACAATGTGTGAAGCCCATTTCTGGTGTCCCCCGCCGTGATATTGTTTAGTTTTAGCAACATATGTTCTATTTGGGATTACACTTTCTTAGTAAAGTACAGATTTTGGTATTTTTGATGGGCTGAGTCCGGGCTTCGAACCCACACAATAGCAACATTCCAGAATTTTCAGAACACCAGAAATATACAAAATTTAATAATCAGAGCGCTTTGAGCAATAGTCCCGCAATATAACGGCGAGGGACACCAGAAATGGGTTTCACACATTGTACCCATGTGGGGAATCGAACCCTTGTGTTCGGCGTGACGAACGAACGCTTTACCCACAAGGCTACCCACCACCCACATGAAAGTATTCAGCACACTTACAGTCCCGTGTGTACTGTTCACAAGCTTGTGTCTTGTGTTCCCAGGTCTTCTCAAGCGACCTCAGGCCCCACTTCATTGTGTAACAGTTTCCTTTGTAGTAGTGGAATGCTCCACAGGTGAATCCCTTCTCACGTCGGCATATGTGTTCACACATTGTCGCTGACGTCTTGGTGTACTTCTTTACGTATTCCCGCACACAGTGATGATATGACTGTTTTGTGAAACTATCTGCATACGACAAACACTCTGTAATATAAGATTAGCAGGTAAGGGCTAAGACCGTTAGTAAACTGTTACAGTGAAATCTTTTAGCAGTTTGTTTCTTAAATAAAATAAAATACAATGACAAATCCTAATTGCCCAAACTGCCACCATGTAGAGATACATTTATGCTGCTGTTACTGGAAGCTGAGGTGAACCATTAAGCAGCCAGTAAACAATGACAGTGTCTCAGCTGATAAGCCAGCATAAAGGAAAGGTAACCTTACATTTATGCTGCTGTTACTGGAAGCTGAGGTAAACCATTAAGCCAGTAAACAATAACAATGTCTCAGCTGATAAGCCAGCATAAAGGAAAGGTAACCTTACATTAATGCTGCTGTTTCTGGAAGCTGAGGTAAACCATTAAGCCAGTAAACAATAACAATGTCTCAGCTGATAAGCCAGCATAAAGGCAAGGTAACCTTACATTAATGCTGCTGTTTCTGGAAGCTGAGGTAAACCATTAAGCCAGTAAACAATGACAATGTCTCAGCTGATAAGCCAGCATAAAGGCAAGGTAACCTTACATTAATGCTGCTGTTTCTGGAAGCTGAGGGTAGACCATTAAGCCAGTAAACAATGACAGTGTCTCAGCTGATAAGCCAGCATAAAGGCAAGGTAACCTTACATTAATGCTGCTGTTTCTGGAAGCTGAGGTAGACCATTAAGCCAGTAAACAATGACAGTGTCTCAGCTGATAAGCCAGCATAAAGGCAAGGTAACTTTACATTAATGCTGCTGTTTCTGGAAGCTGAGGTAGACCATTAAGCCAGTAAACAATGACAGTGTCTCAGCTGATAAGCCAGCATAAAGGCAAGGTAACCTTACATTAATGCTGCTGTTTCTGGAAGCTGAGGTAGACCATTAAGCCAGTAAACAATGACAGTGTCTCAGCTGATAAGCCAGCATAAAGGCAAGGTAACCTTACATTAATGCTGCTGTTTCTGGAAGCTGAGGTAGACCATTAAGCCAGTAAACAATGACAGTGTCTCAGCTGATAAGCCAGCATAAAGGCAAGGTAACCTTACATTAATGCTGCTGTTTCTGGAAGCTGAGGTAGACCATTAAGCCAGTAAACAATGACAGTGTCTCAGCTGATAAGCCAGCATTAAAGGTACAGCTTGTTCAGCTTGTACACCTGAGCTACTCTACACATGTCATATGGCACAAGCGGCGGAGTCGAGTTAAACTTCATTAAATAGGGGAGCAGATAATGTTATAAATGTTGCATAAAAGCCCGAGTCGGAAACATTAAACCATTTGTAGCTTGTTTTATAAAGAAAGTTAGGACATTGCTGACGATTTCACAATAATAGACCCAAAAAGTTTTGACATGGTCATGCAATGCATAAGTATTCACTTGATCAGGTCAAGCTGAGAGATCGAACAGTCTGTCCAGTTCATGAAAATGTCCATGTATATTTTATTATAAGAAGCGGGAGTCGGGATGGAACCCACCCGCTGAGGCTCTATCTACTACACCAAGAACATGGTATGACGGAGTACCCTGTATCTAAACTAACGCTTAGTCTCTGAATATATATATACGTGTGTGTGTAGTAGTGTGTGTGTGTGTCATATATATATATATATATATTTGATAATAACAAACAGTTACCTTTTAAATTACAAAGGAGCCCCAGTGTGAGAAAGGAGACTCATGAACCCTGACGAAATCTAAATTGCTTTATTTTGGGTGTTAGCATTGCAGAGAGGGCTAGGCAGAGGGGGGATTAATTGGAGACTCGGAGACAGACAAACAATTTGAAATGATTTTAGCTTATTGTATAGCTTATTTTAACGAACTTAAAAATATTATCACTTGGTAATGTATATAAATACATGTATGATCTACATAAAGTCGCTTTGCTTTGGAAACATTTGTTAAATAGTTTAGATGAAGAAAGATCAAGTTCGCCTGTTTTCATGAATGTGTTTCATGAGTGTATTTTATTATGACAGGGTATTCACTTCTTCGGCGGAGAAAAGTAAAGATATGAACCTTTCTTTATTTTGATGTCAGAATGAAAATCCAGGGTGGGTTGGGACCTATACATGCACATACTGGATACATCATCCTACAGCTACTGACATACATCCAGGGTGGGTTGGGAACCTTACATGCACATACTGGATACATCATCCTACAGCTACTAAAATACATCCAGGGTGGGTTGGGAACCTTACATGCACATACTGGATACATCATCCTACAGCTACTGACATACATCCAGGGGTGGGTTGGGAACCTTACATGCACATACTGGATACATCATCCCAAAGCTACTGACATACATCCAGGGTGGGTTGGGAACCTTACATGCACATACTGGATACATCATCCCACAGCTACTTAAAATACATCCAGAGGTGGGTTGGGAACCTTACATGCACATACTGGATACATCATCCTCCCCAGCCTACTGACATACATCCAGGGTGGGTTGGGGAACCTTACATGCACATACTGGATACATCATCCCATATTGCATGCATCCAGGGCTCAAAGTAGGAAGAACATCAAGGGTGTGCCCTAGGGCACTGTGTGCTTTAGGTGTTCCATGTTAAACATAGATATGCTTTATCTATTTTACCCAAAATATTATTATGAAGGGCAGAAAAATCGATTCCATCAAAATTATTAGAGATATAAATGATATGTTCATGCGTTAGAATGTTTGTCCGACATGACAGTGAAAATTTATTACAAGTCCTTTGGAAATTCCTATAAATGGCGTCAGTCCTCCTCTTCCGCGTTGTTTGTGTTTGATCTAGGCGGTTCAGTGTTGAAATTTGTTTGATATGACGTTACCACTTTGAAAAAAATAATGAATTAGCGATATTGTTTGACAATTGTCCTTTCACCATCTTAGCTTTGACATTTCATGCAAACAGTAATTGATCATATTTGTATAAAATAACTATTTCATCGTTGAAACCAAACGAAGCGCACAGCAGTTCATTTTCATATAGACAATTCCTCTGTTTGAATTCCGTTAATCATGTCGTGGTTGTTGCAGCCGTATTGCGAGCAAACGCATCAAAATGTGTTTGCAAACGTTTGTGATGAAAAAATGAAACCGATACATGAAAAGTGCATACAGACAAAAGTTTTCCACGTAATGCACGTCAATGCAAGCCTCAATGCCCTTCCTGGTCTTCTTTAATCGCCTGATCTGAACCCGATCTAGCATCTATGGGACGAACTATGGGATTGACGCGTCCGCAAACGTCACCATCGTCCTCAGACACTTGCAGAACTTGCCAGCGCGTTGCAGGGAGGAATGCAGGAGAATTCCCCAGCCCAAATCCGACGACCTGTGCAATCCCTTCCAAGGCGGTGTCGAGCAGTGATTGGCTGCAAGGGTGGTGTCACCAGGTACTGACCTGAACGTTCCCTTTGTGTCCACACACATGATGCACTGTGTGTGAACTGAGTTAATGCTGACAATGACAACCATACATATCTTCATCCGTATGTCGAATTTCCGTCTACTACGTTTAAGTTTAATCCACGTATGTATACTTACAGTACAACCAGAAATTCATTGAGAATTTAGAGATTGTAATTTTATAATTTTTCACTCATTACTCACCCATTGAATGTGAATATTAGCAGAACATAACTGTCAGATTCAAAGACAGGTGGAGGCAGTTGAGTATCTTTGTCAAGTCACCATGGACAGCAATGCAGGCTTCAATGCGGCGGGGCATTCTTTCCGATCAAAGAAGTTAGAAAGTCGTGATCCATGCTGTCCCAATATCGGACCACCTCTTCTTTCATTTCAGCAACATTTGTCAGTTTTTTCTTATTGACACTTTGCTTCAAAAGTCCCCAAACATTTTCTATTGGATTTAGGTCAGGGCTATAGCTTGGCCAATCTAATAATGTTATATTTTGGGTCCGAAGCCAGCCCTGTGAATACTTTGAACGATGTTTTGGGTCGTTGTCCTGCTGGAAAATCCAAAGTTTCCACAGAATTACGTGAGCAGATGGAAGTAAATGTCCCTCGAGAATATCTGTGTACCGCTCACTGTTCATATTATTTCATTCAAATGCACAGAGGACGTTGCCCCTAACACATATATGCCACTCCACACGTTAAATTTCGGACTGTACTTTGGGCGTTAATACAAAGGTTTTCAGTTTGTTTGGTCCAGCATTTCAGTGTATTAGAAACAGCCACACAGAACTTCAACTGAGAAAATCACATTGTCCCAGTTAAAATTTCTATGCTGTAAGCACCAGTTCAACCTTCGCTCGCCTTTTGTTCAGGGTTTCATGATCGGTGATGGAATTCCCTCGACTTTCTCTGCCAACCCCTTGCATGCAGCTCCTTTCTAACTGTCTCCCTTACAGACCAACCCCTACTTCTTCCTCGGTGTTTCCATTTAATGTGCATACCCCCTTGTAATACAAACCAACAATAGCCTTTTGAAACTATGATCGTTTGTTTAACAGCTTTTATCCTAAGTTGAATAAAATTCCTGAGATTTAAATGTTCAATTGGCAAGGTAAAATCATGAGGATTCGTACTTCTAATTCCACTTTCATTTGATTTTACGTTTTTATTAAAGGTGAAATTCATCGAGGGTACGTTTTCACTGCAAACAGACTATAAAGGGCTGACTGGCCCATCATACCGAGTAGCACATAAAATCTCATTTCCAAGCCATGCCGTTTTGTAGGCGGTTTTGGCAAGAGATTACAATTCTACTGCCGTGGTTATTACAATGTAACATAGCTTGAATAGTTACAATTTACCGCCGTGGTTATTACAATGAAACATAGCTGGAATAGTTACAACTTTACCACCGTGGGTATTACGATTTGTTATGAAGCTTGAATGGTTACAATTTTACCGCCGTGGTTTATTACAATGTACCATAGCTGAATACTTACAATTCTACCGCCGTGGTTATTACAATGTACCATAGCTGAATACTTACAATTTTACCGCCGTGGTTATTACAATGTA